TTTCAAGGCTTTTCGCTTCAGTGGTCGTTCCCCGCTGCTTTGCCGTGCGAGGATCGTAAAGAAACAGGGCGCTGGCCGTCCGATTCGTCCGCGAAGGCCGGCATTTCGAATTTTTCTGCAATGATTGTCCGTGCCGTGTTGGTGGCATTTACGACTCACTGTTGGTTGGGGCGACCATGGATCCCATTCAGCCAATCAGAGCACAGACCAGTCACCCAGTCACCCAGGCTCGGTGGTTGGTTCCCTTTGGAGTGGAACACGGCCTAGTTCTTCGCATTCTCACGGCCCAGGTGATTTTCATGCTCTTCTGGGTATGCTGTTGCTCCTTCTGTTGCTACAGCGCCACCCACTCGCAAGAGGCAGCTGAGTCGTCAGCTTCTTTTGTCTTCGCATGACACGATCAAGTGAGGATGGAGCTATATTTGAAGGCACGTCAGTTTGTGTGAATATGTTTATACTCGCAACTCGCAACTCTTTTCGAGGGAATCGGGTGCTTCATGGCAGTGACAAATGCTTGGCATCGCATGTGCGTTGGTATGGAGGGAAACTCAAAAGATCTCAAAAGACAAGCTGCCATCGCAGGTGCGCACAATGATTCTGCGGCGTAGCCTGACAGCATGTGGACATGTGCGATGTATTCTCTTCTGGAAAAGCTCCAAAGATGGTGGAACAAGTGTTTCCATCTGAAGCACTTTCCTTTTGCTATTAGGTTGGAGGCCATCGCTTCTAGGTTGGAGGCCATCGCTATTAGGTTGGAGGCCATTCCTATTGGGTTCCTTTTGCTATTAGGTTGGAGGCCATCGCTAGATTTGCATTGTTGTGCTTGCTCATGAGTCCCCGCACTCGCCTCATGAGTCCCAATTGTTTATTTTGATTTTGCTGACCCACAAAATCTCATAATCACAAGCCTCATTTGGTTTGAAGCAATGGTTTTACATGGTTTTACAAGACATCCAGCCCCAATCCTGTAGCGAGCAGTCAGGCTCAAAACATGTTTGACCCTCAAACCACCCGATTTACCAGTTTGTCCTTCCTTTCGCCTGCTTCTTTTTGAAGCCAGGGCACTCGGAATTGCACCCGTCGCCAGATTCGTTAAAAAATAGGGAGAAGGTTCCACCGGTTCCATGTGGCTCCCCATGGGCCTCCAGCTTCGCTCTCTCCTCCGCTCCATAAAGGTCTCCCGGGCCCCACCAAGGCTACCTGCCCTGAGCGACCTGCGGACCGGGCGCGCGAGCGACTTGGGACGTGCGAGCGGCTCCGCCGGCGGCTCGCCCAGGCAACCAGCGTTCGCAGATGGCGGAGATCGCCGAGAAGGAGATGGGCCAACTGCGGCACTCCGAGCCTGCGGGAACTGCTGCTGGACCAAAAGCGGGGGCCAAAAAGGGGGAGGGAGGAGGGAGGGATGTGGTCATGCTTCAAGGAAAGGCATGGAAAGACACTGGCACCAGCTGGGATAGTCTAGAGAAACACCACAGGTTTGATTCGGTTTCACGGTGTGCTGGGTTTTGGCTCATGGTGGAAAACGCGCTGGAAATCGTAAAGCAAGATCGCCTTCCACGGGGCCATGCCATCCACTTCCGGCTGGGTCGCTGCATCGAGAAAGCGGGGTGAGCAGCACACGGCCAGACCTTCTCCACTGACTCTCCGAACAAAAACCTGCCTGCAGTTCTGGCAAGCACACCAGACCCAGCAATAATGTTTGCCAAGCACTTCAACTGACAGTATAATAGTAGATGATGTGGCTGAACGTCTTTAGGGTTTCACTTGCTCTGTTGAATGTTGGATTGTTCACCACGCTTCAGTTTTGACCCAGAACCAGAAAAGAGTCATCCGGCTTGGGCAAGGTTGGATTGGCGAGCTCCTTTGATGGGCTTCTTGGTACAAATCGAGTCTCAGAGATGTTCAGTTGCATCCATTTAGGACCATGGTCGTCCTACCCGATAACATACCCTCGTGAGACTCGGGAGGTTGGGATACTTGCGGTGGGGATACTTGCTTTTTGCGAAAAATAGGTATGTAGATTTCAAGGGCTTATCAGGGCTACGTGTGCACCAGCGCTTGGGACTTAAGGCCTTACAGGGGTTTCTGGCACCAAAACTGTCCATGACACCACCAAAGGAAACGAGGGAGACTGAAGGTGTTGATGTGGTGGCACCTGGGTTTGCCAATGTTTGCCAGGAATTTTGAAATGGGCACAACATGGTACGAGTGCAAAAAAACACGGACAGATCTAAAGCCAGTATTTCTGACAAGGTGGATCTGTCTCTATGACTTTGCAGACGTTCTTTTGTTTGTGTGTTTGCTGGACTAGAATCATACAGTATACAACCACATTTATGTGGATGATAATAGTATAAATACCAGCACCCTCCCACAGGCTGTTAGTTGAGGGTTGTTGGACCCTAACAGGTCTCAATTGGTGACCTGTAGAGTCGGGTCCTGGTATGTGAGCATCGGCCTCCCAGATTCTCACTGACCTCGAACCACGCTCGCTCCAAGAACGGCGAGGGCCTAGGGTTTGACGGGCACGAATGGGGGTTCCGACGTGTGAGTCGAAGGTGGAAATCTGGTGCTCCGGTCTTCCGGTCGCTTGGATCTGTCCGACACCGACTTGTATATAATTCTTATGTTTCTGTGGCATGTAATGTAGACTCTTGATTAAGAACTACCACCCCACTTGGACTCTTGATTGAGAACCCCCCCACTTGGATTGCAAAGCCTGTTCGTATGTTGTTTGGCTCTGTTTTTTCCATCAAGAGTCTTACTATATTGTTATAGAATTCTATTGTTATACCACTTCTGTTCGTCCCACCACCCCAAGCCACGAGCCACGAGCCAAACCTTATCAGTCCAGCTCTTGGGACTAGACTCGCTCATGGCACAGACCCCGTCCATGGCACAGTATGGGGTTCCATCAACTGCCATGAAAGGGGATTGTGCCATATAAACTCTGAAGATAGATGAACATAGTGAATTTGTCTTGAGAGGCCAAGGTGAGTGACCCTTGTTTTGAAATATCAACAAGACAAGGTGAATCATGGGCACTCTGACCACATCCGACCCCCCTTTGGAGCACCCAAACGTGTTCATTTCATCAGGGCTTCATGCAGGCTTTGGAGCTCAACCAATCATTTGCATCCTATTTGCCTGCACGAGACCCAAGGGACCCCAGCAACTCCCCTGGCACCAGGAAACATGACCCAGATTGTGATATGGTGGGGGGTTCAAAATGGAGGGCTGACCTCCCAGGTAGTCTGTTCTGTTCATTCCGATGGGTAGACCTCCCAAGGTCTCTCCGTGAAATAGCCATATTTTTCGGGGCGGTCCTACAGTTCTTGACAACCACGTCGGGGCCATGTCTCAGGCTGCTCTCCAGCGCCTCCACTTACACGCCCCCTCGCCTCTGAGTTCGCTGCGTCCGCTGCGTTGGCAGAATTTTCGGCCTCGTGCGGGTGCTGCACAAACAGAACGAACAATTGTTTATATAATCTGATTGCGCTGATTGCTATCCTGATCAGGCTATATCCAAAATTGGAGGGCAAAAACACATTGATCATGCAAAACAATCAGATGACTGCACTATATAGAGCAAAAGTGCTAACCCAATTTGGAGAACAAGAGCGCTTTTTGCATCGCACATGTTTGCCCTATCAGTGTTTTTTTTGGTATATCACTTTGTTTCAAGTATCGTGGCACCGTGCCGGCCCGAAGCAAAGAGGTCATCCAAATAAGGAGTGCTTGGATTTGCATCCCAGGGCTGTAGTGGCGTTTTCAGGCTCATTGTTATTAGGTTCACCCTCTCACCCCTTGATCAACGGTTGAATAGACCGCCGTATCAGGAAGGTCCTTCCTTCCTGGCGGCAAGTTGGAGAATCCTCCATCTCACCGCGGCGAACATGGCCCTGAATTTTTGGGTATATGGTATAACTGGTCCTTTCAAACATGCCCAGACACGCCACATATGGCTTATTTTCCTATATTGGGGTGGCTTCAGGGGTCAATGTATGCATAAAGTCTACCATACATGGATGGTTTGGGATAGATAATTCAAGGCTTGCGGACCGCGGAGCTTCCAAGAGATACAGATACATAGAGACTGGAAGATCATGAATCAATCCTCAGATTACCCAGGCTGGACAAAACCGGGTACGACCTTGCGCGCGGCCATGTATGCTGCATTCATTCACACTGCCCAGTGAGAATCAGTGAGAACGAGGTAGATATGAGTGAACATCAAGAAGAAGAAGGATGCCGAGAGCTCTGTCCCAAGAGCTCCACTTACGGACGACCTTTGATGACCTCCGCAGGTCAGGTTTTGCGAGGAAAACCGGATGCAAAACCACCCTTGGTGGATTCATCCTTGTAGCTTCTTGACTGATCTTGACTGGATCAGGCCCGTAGTGGAACAGCGAAAACGGACTGGTGCGACGGGTTTTGCATGAAGGAATGATCCGACATGACCCCAGAGAAATGGACGGATCCCTCCACCCGAGACACAAGTCACTCTCCCCCACACCCGAGACAAGACTCTCGCCGTCGGCTGGACGTACTGGGTCTCTGAGGTGAGGTGGAAGAGGAACAGTCAGCTTTTAGACTCAACTTGTCCTCCTCAGCCGCCGGGGCCGCCGCACGCGACTGATCGTTTGTAGATCATTCGAATTCGACTAGATAAAGGCGCAGCCACCTGCGACTGGAATTCCTAGCATCTCCGGATACCAAGTGATGATGCAGGCTTGGAGAAGAATAGGAAAGTGGAGAAGAATAAGAATAGAGGAGAATGACGCACAGAAAGACCATGAAAGACCTACATGCACAATTTGATGCCAAAGGTAAAAGCATGACAAACAGACCAATCAGAAAGAAAGGAAAGGAGAGAGAGAGAGAGAGAGAAAGAAAGAAAGCATGTCGTTGCTTATTTAGAGCCGTGGACCCGGGTCATCATATCAAATCATCATATTTCTGTGCCACCTTTTGACGCTGCATTTGTTGCCGTTTTGCCTTCAAGAGAGTTGGGATACCCTTCTCAGCCCTTACCTCCACAAGTGTCTTGACGGCAGAGAGCTCCAACTGTTGGAAGGTTTGAGGGTTGGTCCACTTGAAGTATTGGAGTATCGAGTTGAAAAATGGGAACATATATACTTTAATCTTCGGATGACATAGGATTTAGAAGACATACATGGGATTGCTGTGGAAGCCGGCCTCTAACCCCCCAGATTGCAGAGCTATACCAGATCGTTTTTTTTTGCTGCCGGGAGGTGTCCGTGGGCTGCATGTGTGTCACAAGTCGTGTCTCATCCTGCTCTACACATAGTCACCCAACGAGAAGAAGGTGCCAACACGTTTTTGACATGATATAGGACTTACGTACTCTATTCCTTATGTCACTTGACGCCTTAACGCGCATGTGATTTGCACCCAGTATATATATATACATAATTTAGCGGGGTATGTCGGGGTAGCTAGATAGCTATAGTATGCTATAGTACCCTACTTGAGCTACTAGTATGGACGCAGGATAGCTCATATTGATTTGGTTTCTAGATTTTTAGGGAAACTTAAGCCATGCTCGGGAGTCCGTCGGGCCGAGTGCATCAAGTAGTCCTGGACTAATACTGATTTGGGTCCACTCCGTTGGTTCCGAAAGGCTCCGTTGTTTAGGCATGTTTTAGGCCATCATATCAACTCACCATTAAATTGCATATAAGTTCATTGATATGTATCCATTGTGTTTCCCTTCTCAGGTTATTGAACCGTTGCAAACGACCGGCAGCTGCTTGGTCGACCGGGACGGAACCGGGGCGTTGTGTGGTGTTTTTCAGCGCCGTCGTTCCACGGCCTTGCCAGCCCACCACGCTAAGCCACAAAGGGCTTAACTGTAACCTTCCCCTTTCTGGCCGAGCTGCTAAGTTTTTTTCATTTCAAGCTGTTCAGCCTTTTCGGTCGGCCCTTGGCCCCAGGACTGAGCGACTGCTGATTGCTGTTTGAACAGATTCTTTTGTTTGTTTGTTGGCTGGGTATGCACGATCACTGGTTTGAAAGCAAATGACCAACCAACGACAATTCTATGTTGTACCCCGAACAACCCTTTGTGCTTGCAACCACTCCGATTTGACAGATCCATGTGCAGTGTGAGCCTGCGACCAACGAGTTGATTCTAGCAAACGAGTGTGTTCAGTTGGCAAAGATCCCCACAAAGACCAGCCAAGTGCCAAGGGGGTCAGGTACATCTTCTGACTCCAGATGATTGATCTGAGGTTCCTGCCATGCGAGCTGGTCTCGTTTCCTGGCCGGAAAGGATGGTGGCGACATCAGACGCCCTGCAAACCTTTGGTAGTTGTGTTTGTATAAATAGGGATAAATCATGATAAATAGGGCGTGTCATTTAAGTGGCTGAAGTGAAGAATCATGAATAGCTAATGCGGCTAAGGATATCTTTTATACTAGTTAAGTGATCTCAAACCAGGATATCAAAGGGTCACTTTGAAGAACCAGGTATTGCATAATTTTACGATTACTAAGAGATTCAGTCACTTGATCCCAACTGAAAGGAACCAAGGTGACAATGCTATAGAGAGAGAGAGGGGTTCCTAAAAATGGCTTCTGGGCTCCTTTAAGAAGATAAGATGCACTAGCTACTTGTCTCCAACTCGATGCTTGATTTTGATCGTGGAGAAATCTCCTGCCTATCTTGCCTGTGAAGTGTTTCAGGGAACCCTCCAAAGAGGCTCGTTTCTGAAGCACGTGTCTCAGACGGGGCGTTAGATGAACTGTTCCTCGTGTATCGTTGGTGGCAACATGTCCCTCAGGGTACGGCCGAACATGGCAGCCGGAAGCCCCCAATGATGCAGGTGTTCCTGTTGACCAGCGCGTTGGCTGAACCGCTATGCATATCCGAAGTCTCCTGGCTGCAGTCAAATGCTAAAGCAAAAGACCTTGAGGGCCCATGAGATGTTCATGTGAGTAATTATTTAGCCAACTGCACGCCGAAGAAGAATACACTTGCGGCTGTAAACTTGTGAGTTTGAGTGTGAGCTTTTGGCTGTGTGACATGTTTATACAAGTTGTTCAGCTAGATGCTCGGCACCCTCCCTCCAGTGCGCAGGACTGTTCCGCGCTGGATGACACCTCATTCTTGCAGGAGAAGCTACAGGACCGGGGTTCTGATGTGACGCTGCGCTCAATGTATTCCAACACAGTTGTTTCCTTAAAACTTGTTGACAAGTGTTTCAATTTGTGTTTAGGGAGAGATCGACAACTGCAGGCTTGTTACAAGCAGTTGTTTCTGCGTGTTTTCGACATCTCTTTAGACATCCACAGGTGGTGTTCTTCTCCAGTAGTTCTCGTTCGCATTGCTTCGTTGATTCGTTGGTTCAGCTTCCATGTTCATGTTCACGGAGGGATTCTACCGGGTTGGGAGCCACAGCTGGACTTCATGCCGGGCACGAGGTTTGTTGGATGTCTCAGCGAGCTGAGTACATGTTTGGCAAAATGCAAAGCATTGTCTCATCCATCAGACGAGTATAAAATTGTCTACATAATATATGGGAAACTATATATTATGTACACTTCCTGGAACTAACATGGAAGCAGATGGCATGGCCCCTTGGAAGACCAGGGGTTTCCACTTCCATGTTAGTTCCAGGGAGAGTATATAGAGTATTTATATATAGAGAGAGAGAGAAAAAGAAAAAAGAAGACACTGACACCAACAAGCATGCAAGTGTCTACATTATATGTATATGATACATTATATATGTATATTATAAGTAATATGCAGTATATATATATAGAGAGAGAGTGAGTAATTCAAATGTCATGACGAACGCATGTGAGAGCGACGGCATGGACTTTGCGTTGACATGCAAAGAGGTAGGTATATACTTGACTAATCCAGACGATCCATGTAGACAAATATGACCAACATTCACCACCAAAACCATCAAATGTACAGTAGGCCATATTTGCTTACATGGATCCTTTGACTAAGCTTAGCTTGGCTAAGCCGACCGGTCTGGCCGCTCTGAACACAACAGATGCATGCGTCTTGAAATTAGACCCAGCTCTGTGGGAGCCATCTCTGCAAACACAAGGCACTTGGAGGATTCAACATCAACGGTTCAAAAAGCTGACATATGATGGGGGCGTTATCCAAATGGGCCAAGTTTAACGACTTTACATGGCCCACGGCCTTCTAATTTGTCGCAAAAGGTTCTTCCTGAGTGTTTGCAAGTGGATTGTCCTTCTCAAGAGTATTGCAGAAGCTCAGAACAAGAGACCTCCTTGAAAAATCAACGTATTTCGCAGTATTTTCTCAAGGGGATGTCCGTTTTTGTGCCAAGGGATTTGGCCAATTCCAATTCTCCTCCAAGTGACCTGACCTCCACGGTGCAATAAAGACCACCGGTCGGAGACCGGAGTTCGATCGCCGCAGGTGAGCCATCAGCTAGCAGCCTACGATCGAACTATCAGCAAGGCGGTCCAGGTGGGAGCGCAGCTCAGAACACTTGACAGCTCAGTGCGGGGAGAGTGGTCACAGAGCTGTCGCGCAGAGCGCGGTCGCAGAGCGGTCAGCGGTCCTGTGACCAGGCGGTTTGAGAAATGGTCGCAATTGCCATGCTCAGAATGGGTGTTTTGGATCCTTGAGATGGGAAAACTGACAAACGTATAGACCTATGCGGAAAAACGTCAGGAAACAGGGTCTTCGGACTCCAATCCTCCAAGTCAGGTCGTGGAGACAGAGGGTCCTTCGTCTTAACCGTATACTATATCGAATACGAATCTCCGTAGGACATAGCTGTTTTCCGCGGGTTGTTCGTCGTTCCCACACCTCAAAAAAAGTGGACGTCGCGGGCACTCAGAGTTCGAGAAATTCTCCGACCACATGAAGAATCCGTCGACACGCGAAGAGGTGCCTGAAGAAGGAGCTTTCAACGGGTAAATCCGACAACTTCGATCCCGCTTGAGCAAAGGATCACGACCAGAACAGAAGCACATTCACGCGCGCGTTTTTTTTCTGAGCGCACCGTGTTGGACGCAGCGGACGCATGCTGTCAAAAAGTCAAATAGAAAGTCGATTTGGAATACGAGTCAATTATGTGCATCAATCAATGCCCAAGTACGTCATGTTGCCATATTGCGTTGGTTTGTCGATGTATTGAGCCCCCCTGATGCACCATTTCCCACTCTTCATTTGGCCAGGCGGAGGAAGCCGCGCTAGTTCCAGCGGCACAGACTTTGATCGACAAAGAAACCTTCGGCAAGCGTATCGTGCATTTTCCGCCCTGGGTCTACCTAGGTGCGGAAGTGGCCAAAAATCGGGGCGGACGTGGTGATGCTTTGTGTGTTTTTTTGTTGGTGATGTGTTGCGGCTGCTGTTGGAGATAAGGGGCGAAGAGTGCGGTTCTGGAATGGTGTGCAAGCAAAATAAAGCAAATATCATCAAATATCCACCTACTATCTGGAGTTGGAATATGTTCCTGTCGTTCTTGTTCAATGTAGTACTTGTATCGTGTTAGTTCCTAAGCCTTAAGGTATTAAGGCTGCAATAGACACTTTTCACTACTTTTCCGCACGTTGGTAGGATTGGACATCTCACCGTGCTAGTGAAAGGGCCTCTGAGGCCGAAAGCTGGCTCCGGTGAACCGTGGCTTCTGATCCCAGCGGATTCAGAGTGGATCTAAGCCGCCTTTTTTCCATAAACGTCCAAAGAATACAGTACCACAAACCGATCGAAACATGGAAACTATAACTTACTGTAATGCACCCTAGTGCTCCTCAAAAGGTATCCTAGATTTCAGGTTGAGAGAATGGGTCCAGAACCAAAGTGTCCTGAGGATGAGTTTGGGCCCCAGGCGCGTGCTTAGGAGGTTCTGACTCATATGGAGGTTTCATCGGTCTTTTTCGTGTATGGAAGGTCATCAGCAAGGATCACTATGGACCCTAACCATCTCATGGTCTGCATGTCATCCACTTTGACTCACAGGTCGAACCTTTGGTAAGCTGTAGAGTTGGGTGCTGCTACAAATCACAGCTTTCTCTCCAAGAACGTCCTGCCATGTCCTACCTGATCCAGATCGATGAGCCATGGGCCTTGGAAGGGATGCTGCTTTGCGTGGTGCGCCGCTAAAATGCCTTCTAGTTGCTTTTGATCCGAGAGCATAGGATATCTTTGGAGGGCCACGCCGATGAAAGAAACAATCTAGATATCTGGGGTCTATTTTTAACTTTTTAGACATGCTTTGACGTGCGGGTGAAGTGGAGGGGATGAGATATGGAGGCTGCTACTGCGCGTAGCTTCTTGCTCACAGTCTTACGTGCCTGGCGGTCGGTGGACGGTGTCATGGCGCTCATTGCGAGCCCACTGGATGGTGGGATGGCGGTTGAGCATCCGTTGAGGCTCAAGCTGAGTGCCACCTGCATGAATTATGTTGGCCTATCGTATCACAATAAAGACCAGGTTCTAGATCGATCGGAGGCTCTGTAGATTTGTCATTGACCGATTATAAGGCTACTGGCTGTGGCTTGGCGATCCATGGTGTTGGCATCAAGACCTACATCGAAGAGTAATAGCCACAAATCTTGAATAGGGATGAGTCTTTGATGCAAATTCAGCGGACATGATTTTCCGTTATATAGTTGATGGATATTGAATTCAGGCTATAATCTTCGGGGGCCCGAGGACAAATGGATCATTGTGTGGAGTTTGGACGAGGATGGAAAGCCTTTGACATATGTCAGATCGAACTCTGGATATCCCTGCACCCTGATTTTCTAATCGTAGCTCATCTTCAGGCGGGGGTGTTTGAGAATGGGTTTGTTGGATATGGCATGCCGAGGGTGCCTTTGTCTACTGCAATGCAGTGCACAACTTCCATGCGGAGCTGCGCCATGTGCGGGGTGGCAAGAAGAAGATGAGATCAGTTTGGCTAATCATTTGGTACCTGCATGCTTCTCTTTGTGTATCCCAGACCAGTGGGGTGGAAGAGTCTGGGCTACAATCATGGTACATGCGGCTTCCTGGGTGCAAACAGTGAAGCTTGCAACTGTGTACGTGCAACCATTGTATCGTGCAAACCCTGGCCTTGCTCAGATTATGCGCCAGCTGCTGCCGATGCTGGTCACTGAGCCGCCGCGCGTGTGGCAGTGAAGCACGTCTTGAGTGAGAAAACCACAGCTTGAGCGGGGCAGCTTGAGGGTGGCTGGCAGTGTGATCGAGCACCATGTCACCATGTGGTTCAAGTAACTCTGATGATATTTGAGGGACAGTAGCTGCGCGTTAATTTCAACTTTCTTTGCGAGTAGGTTTGGACCTTAGTCCTGCCCAGGGAGGCCTTGAAACCCAAACACCTTCAAAGAAGGTATACGTGAGCCCACCCCAATCCACCCGCCGCCACCAAATGGGGAACTTGCAACGCGCCAGCCCTCTTGGCCGTCTTGATTGTGGCCTTTGTCCACGAGGTGTCACCTAGCTTTATTGGTACCTGCTGTTGGTCGTTGGCCTGGATTTTCTGATGTGAAGCCGCTTGAGATCTCAGTGTGTTGGAGATGTACTGGTCCCAGGTTTCGGAAACACATTTACATAATTTATTACATAGTACAGTATATTTATGTATGTTTCCATTCATATACATATACCACCGGTGAAGCTGACGCTGACCCTTTTTTCACCTTGTAAGACTCTGCCCAAAACAGGAGAAATCAACTTACACAGGGGTTGGACGATGGATTACACGCCCGCCGGTGATGATGAGGGTACATGGACTATCCACCTGAAAGAGGTGCATGTTGTTTACCCTGGGCCAGTGATCACAAATGTCAGTTTTTTGTTGTTTGTTGTATATTTTGTAATACATCATATAACCCTTTCTATTTCGACCGCGTTTCCGCTACTTTGCCCTTCCGCTACTTTTCCAAAAAACACTAGAAACGGTCGGCAAAAAACGTTGTCGCTATAGAATCATGATGTTGTTTTACATTAAAAGTACTGAACTGCGAAAGGTGTTCAAGGTATACGGTATACCCATCATTGAATCTCAACTTGCGTTCATTGTGCTGAACAGCAACTGACAAATTGGGGTGGTTTTCACACAGCGCTACGCTAGCAAATGAAACCGATCTAAGGACTCAAAAAAACTGTTAACGATTGTTTGTTGTTGCGAATTCAGGCTGCATGTTGATTGCAACCAAGAGACTGTCAACCACACGTAGACTTTTGGTGGATACCGGATCGCGGATCCACAATGATCCGCTCCTGGTTCGAATAACTAGCTTGTAATGGTGATCCACAAAAAACCTGCACCAAAGGTGTATAATCTAACGGTGGCAAGTTTGTGAAATATATGCAAAGAGTTGCGCAAGGATGCTTCATTGCAGGTGCAGGGTGCACGGTTTCTGTTTATTTGTCCGTCAGCAGTAATTTGATTTGTACCATCCCACTAGGAAGCACTATCAAGCTTTGAGATGCTCCTGATCTACCTTTTAACATGTTTCAAGAGTTTTTACAAAGAAAACACACGTTTGAGCTGAAACTTACGTTTGAGTAGCAAATTGTTTAGAACAGTCAAAATAATCGAGAACCAATTCTAGGAGGTACCTGAACTAAGACTTTTCAGACATCTCGTGATGTGCATTTTTGGTTTGGGCTTAATATCTTGCAGCAAGACAGCCAACACAGCGCAGTGTTACAGATGTTGCTCCTGGAGAAAGAGCAGGGCTGTTATATTACTCTATGTAATTACGTCAAATGTGTGGTACCCCCAATCCACAAAAGATAAAAAACACTTCAACAACACAGTTCAATAAAATATAACATAAAACATCAATATTAAACTTAGGTTATTCTTGGGGGGGAGCTACCCAAAATTGTGGCCATACCAAACCCAAGCTCCGCTGCAGAGCTGAGGTTCGTGTCCAGAGGCATGACACCAATCGGTGTGCGAGGGCCAGCGAACCTGTCGCTGAGTATCCAAATTATGGGCACCTCGGATGAGACGACGTCGGCAGATGAGATAGGGCCTAGGGCTCGAAGTCATATATGTGCCTTTTTGGGGACTGGTAAGTCTAGTACTTGTGTTGTTGGCGTGTCTTTTGTTTAAACGAGATTGCACTGACGCAAGGTGGCGGACCTAAATTTCAATTCTTATGTGGACCACCCGGAGCCCTGAACCAGAAGCTTTGGCAGATTTTGAACCAGCAAAAAAAACGGTCATCGTCACCGCAATGCCGCAATGCACTCCAAACGCTAAGGTTTCTTTCGAAAAGTGAATCGTGTGGAAATTCCTGGCTCCACCGGGCTCCACCGTTTTAGATGTATCGAAGCGAGGCATGTTGGAAGTCACAGGCTCGAGGAGCGTTACCCACTGATATCATTTTTAAATGTATTCATCTCCAAGGGTGTCCTCACCCTGTACATATGAAAAACATAGAAGACAGTCTTCCCCAGTAAAAGCCGTCCTCCTCCTCCTCCTCCTGCACATCACCACCATCATTGACCGTTTCAAGTTGTTCAAGCAAATCAGACTTCAGAACCAAGACGAAGACAAGGAAGACCTCGTCATCACAATATACAATGATGGTGTAAGCAGTTGAGACTGGCAGAGTCAGCAGAGTCTCTGTGCCGCACAAGGGTAATGTAGGATCTTGATTAGTAAAAGAGATCCCCCCCTCAAACAAATGAGGGAGTCTCTATTTAAAAAACTACCACCAAAACAAATCTGGGTTCCTAGGAGGATTCCTTCTGTAATTGATTGTAGTATTCATTTTCCTTTCTCTCTTTGTAGTAGTAGTTGTTGTTGTTGTAGTTGTAGTTGTAGCAGTAGTAGTAGTAGTTGTAGTAGTAGTAGTAGTAATAGTAGTTGTAGTTGTAGTAGTTGTAGCAGCAGCAGCAACAGCAGTAGTAGTAGTAGTAGTAGTAGTAGTAGTAGGAGTAGCAGTAGTAGCAGTAGTAGTAGTAGTAGTAGTAATAGTAGTTGTAGTTGTAGTTGTAGTGGTAGTCGTATCAGCAGTAGTAGTTGTAGGAGTAGCAGTAGTAGCAGTAGTAGTAGTAGTAGTAGCAGTAGTAGTAGTGTAGGTGTAGTAGTAGTAGTAGTAGTAGTAGTAGTAGTAGTAGTAGTAGTAGTAGTAGT